CGCGCCGCTTGCTGGGGGCTGTAGTCCGCGCCCAAGCCCGGCGCCGCCTGCGCATGCACCGCCGCAGCGCCCGCCGGGAAACCGAGTCCGCCCCGTCCCTGCGCCCGGCGCCAGGAGCGTGCGCCCAGGCACGCAGGCCGGGGCCGTCACGTGGGCACCCCTCCCCTCCCAACAGTCGTAACGGTCGCCCAGCGCGCTCGCGCGGAGGCGTTGGGCGCGCAGCAAGCACATGTGCTCGCACACGGCCTGTCATCGCGTAATGCGCAACAACAACAAGAACATGTGCAACACGGTGTGCAAGAACAACCACAAAACATGCAAGAGTAACAAATGACAATCCAGAACAACAGCGCTGCATAAATAATACGTTTATTCCATATAGCATCTCAAAGGCAGGGTAAAACACTTCACAGAGTCGGTACAAGTTAGAAAGATGTGTCAGTTCTTTACAGGTCTGATTTGACATCGGATCCTTGTCGGACGACCGTGAGGCGGCTCTGACTTACACGGGGGGCAGCCCCCAGCTGCCCTCCAGCAAAGAGCATAAAGATCCCGTGCAGCCACCTTTGCGCCCAGCTCCGGACCAGCACGAAGGGGAGTGAAACCAAAGAGCCTCCGTTGCTTTAGCGCCACAGGCACCGCGCACGCGGCCTGGGGCTCCAACAAAACCCCTCTCCTCCCCCCACGCACCTGGGAGCGGGGCCAGGGCGCAGGACAAAAGGATTGCATCTTTCAGCAATACTCGTTCTTTGGCAATAACTAAGGAAGACCTACAATTAGTAAAAGTGTGAGATAATTCATTTCAATAGTTTTTGCAATGCTAGAAAACAGCTGACTTGGAAGAAAAACAGTCCATGCACTTTGAGGGGGTCCTGCTTTCCCCAGCTTTGAACCAGCGGGATGCCTCTGCATCCCGTATTCATCATCATCAAGTTCCTCCGGGAGCCAAACGGCGCATCAGACCCTGAAAACACCTGCATAGTTTGCATTTCCCAAGTCAGCGTTTTTCTAGAAGACAGCGAAATACATTGAACAGTTTGTAAAATGTCTACATTTTTCCATGGATATGAATAGCAAGAAAATAAGCTTTCAGATTTTAGGAAACTTATCTTCTAAGTGTCTGCATCAAAAGGCTTTGGCAAGTTACAGACCTTAACACTGTGACTTTTTTAAAGGCCAAAACTAGGTATATGGACACTTTCATTCACGTGAACTTTTTTCAGTAGACTATGCAACATGTTTCCATGCAGGCTTGGTTCCTACGTGAACAGTCATCATCGTAAACAGACTTTTCAGACAGACGCTTAGAGAAAATTACCCAATTAATTTAAATGGAAAACACCACCATGTTAACGTACTTGGCCAAATACCTGAATTCTAAAATCTGAAAGGCTTTTTCTCCCTTAGCCCTCAATCCTGGAAACAGATAAGCACGTGCCTAACTCAAATTGCCATAGAACTATTTACGTAAGTACAGTTGCGCAGAGGCTGAAGCATTTGGAGGATCAGGGCCATCAGTCACATCATAGAGGTATCACACCCAGGTGACACTACTGGGACAGGAAAATCAGACCCATTATCTTACGGCAAATTAAACTGCAAAGTTAGAGGAAATGACCCTGCTCATTTAAAAATAAGAACGCCCAGGCTCCAAAATAATTCAGTTTGCTTTCAGACACCATGTTTCATATTTGTTTTTAGTTTCCAGCCTGATGTACAAGAACGTTTTGGAAACTAAAGGCAAAATAGCTACCCACACTGTGTGTCTGCAACAAAGTGGGAAACTAGACAGCAGCAGGGAACACTGATGGCGGCCCTTGGATGCAGCCAGCATTCGTGCTAAGCACGTGTACGGCTAGTGAGCATGTAAACAAGAAGGCTGTGCAGCTGTCAGTGTGCAAAGAAGAACAGCGTTCTGTCGCTGTCTTTGTGGCCCACAGGAGCGCCACCTCGGTGAATTCACCGTATCGCTCGGTCTATGAGTGGGTGGAGACATTAAAAAATGGCCACACGTCCCTAATGGACAAAGCCCAGGCAGGACGCCTCCAACAGCCACCACAGAGCACCGTCTTGCCAAGGTCAAACATTAACTACAAGTGCCAGGCAGCTGCTACTCATTTCTGCAACCCTCTTTATATTACAACTGATTAGGTGATAAAAACAGACGTTTGCATTATGCCCTGGTTACAGATACTGCACAACACAGGCATTTTTCCTTTTTATATTTTGATGGTGATCCATCTTGAAGAGCATTTCAGATGTGTCAGAGGGATATGGCAAATCTACAGTACCGCGTCCACAAAGTTGATTTAAATATTCCATGAAGGTGGAGGATTTCTTGGTCCTTTAGGTTTTGAAAATCGTTTTGCAAAGCCTAGGAGTAAGAACAAAATATTTATTTTCTTAAGTATTGTAAACACACTGTGTGATTTTCACATTGCTCTCCTATTCCATATGTACAGAGTATTTAAAAAGACTTGGGCTTTAAATACACTATGTGCTCTATTAATCCTAACACATCACACTATTTAACTACAGTGACAGAAATGCTGGTATTATGCAGCATGGTCACATTTATCCATGTGCAGGGCCCATTAAGGCACTTCAAAAAAACTAGAAATTGTAGCAGGCTTGATGTTTAAGAGTCCATAATGCTAAGTTCATTCAAATACTGTCATGAGGCCAATAATTTATCCAAACTCAGTGTCTGACCAACCTCAGACGTTTTTGAAGGAGCATTAAAGCATGAAATCTTGCATTAATATACTATGAAGGGACCTTGGCTGGGGTACCAGCATATGAAGCGTCAGGGTGGATAGCTTTCAGGTTGAGCCCTGCTCCTGTGATTATGGGTACTGTTTTCACAAGAAAGTTTCATTGTCTCCGTCTTAAAAATCTGTTTGGCTTAATACTCTGCAACCATGAGATGCCCAGGTTAGCTATAGGTAACTCTGGCGCTAAATAATCAAATACAGTTGTGCTGCAGCAGAACGTCTGCCAGCAAACACAATTATAACAAGAATATCAAGGACATATCAACAAGGTTCTGTGCCTCTTGATTAATACACAACTACTCCCTTAAAATCAGCATTTAAATGACATACAGCTTCTCTCCCATGATTTACACAGGGTCAGGCTGTAGCTACTCAGTCTTTCCGTGCAAAATGTGTAACCGTTCAGTACTGAATGGTTGTTGTTTTCTGCAGCCCCTTGCCACATTCAAGCTGTATCCTGTCACAAGCAGCCACATGTCTGTTGTTTGCGCAACTTGCATGTGTTGACAAGGACTGTGCAGTCCGACATAGCTAGGGACTGCGACAAGGCTGCCCACCCCAGCGTACACTTACTCAAACGTCCCGTAAACGATTAATGCAGCTTAAGTATGCAGCGGGGCAGTGCTGTGGCATTAGCAGCCCTGACTGCCCAGCTCCCCCTCATTTTCCAGCCTGCAAACACGGCGACACTAAGCACCCTGTATTTGAGGACTGTTTACAGCACCCTCGGAGCTGCCTATCTAGAAGCAGTCTTGAAACGAACTAGCTCCAGTCATTTGCAATACTTCTAATAGCAGCCTTTTTTTGACAGCTGCTTCCTCTTCACTGTTTCCATATGGAGGGCTATACAAATTTTACAAAGTATAGAGTTTCAGACAGTATGTCGCTAACAAAATACAATTAAGTCACAAAAACAGCAGGGCTGAAAGATCCTATTCACTTAAACAGTAAGCAATTAGCCAAGGTTTGTTATGTTATAAGCATTAGGCAACAAATCCAGACTGGTTTGGTGTTATGTAGGGAAGTGAATGATGTGCCTACAAGCAGAATATGTCCTATTGCCTCAGTGCGTATGACAGAGCTTCTACTGTGAATATTCCACCCTTATATGTAGGTCATACATAGCTCATCAATAAACTCCCAAATGTTACACAAGCACACAAACAAACAAACAGCTTTGTTAAAATAATTAAGCTATAAGGCCACTGGCAGCTTTAAATACATTCAAGCCTCTAATTCTTTTGTGTTTTCATGCGCTAAACAATCACACAGAAGAGTAGGCAATTGCTGCAGTGAAAAGTGTTCAGTCACAGATGCTTCTGATCTATGCAGACACTTACGTGAAGAGTTCCGTCACCTTCCTCGCACTAGCCAAGAGCCAGCTACAATGTCTGCACTTAGCCTTTTAAAAGTCTATAGTCAATGTACCAAAAATCCAAAGAGAAAGGGAAGATGGGGAAACAACATACCAAAATTCAGAAAAGAGGTGGAGTGGTTTGTCTGGGTAGGCTCCCGTGGCTTTGCCAATGCAGATGGGCTGCAGATACCTAGAAACAAACAGAAGGGCTTTCTTTAGCAGGCAGCGACCATTTCATAGATTCATAGATGTTAGGGTCAGAAGGGACCTCAATAGATCATCAAGTCCGACCCCCTGCATTTGAATGACCTAAAGATGCAAGTTGAAAGCCAGCGCAGTGACACAAGTAAACATGCCATGTCCTTTAAAGGGCGGCTTTGTGCAGAGTTAGGGCAGGTTAATTCAGAGACATACTCTTCATAGCATCTAAGCCAACGGTTCCCAACCGGGGTGATGCTTTCATTGAAATCTATCAAACGGAGAAGTGACAAAGACGAGGCTAATTCTATTCTGTAAATTTTGCTCCGTGGAAACACTTGGCTGACTTCATTAAATCAACTCATTTGTTTCAGAGCATGTTTTTGCGGTGACTTCCAAAGAAGATGGATGAGAAGTTAGGATGCCTACAGTGTTAAACAATATCATCTTGGAATGGATAGGGTAGGCTGGGGAAAACAAGCCAAAACATTGCTTCATTTCTGTGTACAGAAGCTGAGATGGGAGGTCGATATACATTTCACATACACACTCACAGTCCTGCTAGCAATGACAGCTTTTCACAGAAATACAGATCTTGAATTCGTATGTGCTAAGTGCTTGGAGAGATCCTAACAGAAGAGGCCAACAGATAACCATCCATCTGGCGAGGTGCTGAGTCCCTCAGCTCCCTGGGCCAGAGAGGTATACAGGATGCTCAGCATGTTGCAGGTCTGGGCCCTCAAAGAAGTACAGCTCTGTAGGCTCCACACATTCACATGGCCAACGGGGTAACTAGCTGACACTCAAGATACTTACTCTTTTTCACGTTGCGTAAAATTTTCAAGCTCTGTAAAAACAACAAATGAGAATGATGATGAAAGAAGCAATATAGCAAGCAGAATATCCCCAACTGATGAAGAGAATGCTCTGCTCAACAGCCATGACGGACAGCATGCATACATCATGCCCACAAGATACACAACACCTACTCTCAAAACCCACATTATATTTGGGGCAGGGGCGCAGAAGCCTGTCATTTCTTTATCTTTTCCTTCTTTCCCAGCCAAAGCAAAATGAACCCAGTGGTTATCAGTAATGCTGTTAAAGCTACTCTCAATAGAAATTCTGTGCAAGAGTGACATTCAAAGGCTAGGACAGACGTAGCTGTGTTAGTCTGACATCAGGCAAAGGAGCAGGGAGCACAGCTTCCCCAGGCAGCAGCTGAAATCAGGATCGTTTAGGAGGGGAGTCTGTCCTACTTGGGAGTTGGAAAATTGGTCAGCATTCCTGAGAGGTGTTGGCCCAGTAAATGGAGAGGAGATCACAGGTATATGGAGGTACATATAGCCAGTCCCAGAGACAGGCAGAGGCAACTCTTGTCGCTGCTGCAGGGCTCTGGTCCTTTTCTTCTTTCCACCAGTTCTGCTTGCAGTGTCACTACCACCACACAATCTTGTGCTTGAGCTTTTCTTGCCTTAAGTATGAGAGCTCTCAAACCAGACCTCTGCTCTCCTACTGTCTTTGTAGGATTATGATGAGACGCCAACAGCCACAGCTACAGCTGGATAGATGACCCTTCTCTCAGATTTCCTTACTTTGCTCCTCCTGAAGCATTTCGCAGGCTCCTGTGATAGCTCCTCAGAAGCTTTATTCCCCGAGTCCCCGAGGCTGCTAGTAGAATTCCTCGCAGGAGGCTGAAGACCTGGGAACACACACCACAACATTTCAGAAGGTCATGTGCACATCCTCCTGTTTCTTTTCTGAATATTTTTGGGTACAGAATTAAGTGGAAGACTCTCTTATGTTTGCCTTTTATGTAGCAGTTTGGGGAGGGGGAGGCAGTATTTTGCCTGTGACCCTGGCAGCCACTCTCTGGCTGCGTTCATTGTTTTACATCCATGGTGTTCTCCCACAGAAAGCAGGGACTCGTTTGGAAGGTTTACAACCAACCTGGGCTGAGTGCAAGATGGGGTATGGGGCCCGATCAG